ATATATTTATAACATTTATGCCTCTTCATGATTGCTCTTATGGAAAACTATTATGCCAATAAACTGGAACTGTTTTTTTTTTTTTTTAAATAATAATTATTTAAAACTAATTAATTAATTAATTTTCTTATCAATTCCGGATACGTAATGATAACAAAAAAAAATATTCCAGGTACTTTGAATGTAATTTACACCTTTCGTACCTATTTCACACACCCATTCACCTTACAATTTAATTTTTCTATAAATTTCTTTTTATTAATAATAATAATTACATACCTAAACGAAACATTGACGATGATGGACTATTTATATCTAAACGTTCATCATCATCATCATCATCATCATCCTCGTGATAATAATCATAATGATGAAAATTTTCTAGTAATCCGTATCCGTTCGTTTTATTAAACGATTGCGGGGAAAGTCCATCTGCGTGACAAAAAAAAAAAAATAAATAATAATAATAATCATAGAAGGGAATTTCATAACCATTAATATTATTATTATTATTATAATCACATTAAAAAAATTCAAATGTGTGGTAAATATTATTTAGAGCGTAATAAATTAACAAAATAAATCACGTGACGATCGACATACGTGCAAAAAAAAAAAAATAATTTTTTTTGACTTACCTTTGGTAACAACATCTCCTCCATAAAAACGTTTATACTGAAGGGATCCGTTCGTATCCAATGGTACGTAATAAATATCATTTTGTCCAGAATCGTAACCTGGAGAAATATTATTAACATCTTCCAATTGTTTACGAAGGAACGAATAATTTTCCATGTCCCAGGGATCAACGTAACTTCTTCCGCTTATATCGTCGTTTGAAAAACCAGACGATGTTGAAAAATATTGTCTGTCGTGTCTTTGATTATTATTATTATTATTATTCATTATTTCTTCTGGTGAAGAATATGTCGAACTATTTCCATCACTATTGTAACGATAATCTCCTCCTTGTGATGATAATCTTCTTATCCATGTTCTTGGTATCTTGGCTGGTTTACAAACCGGTGACATTTTAACTTATTTTTAATAAATTTTTTTTTTCTAAATATAGTTGATCAATTTCAATAAAAAAATTATTTTATGGATTATTATTATTATTACTTATTATTTATTACCGTAATCGATTGTTGTGTTGACTTTAAACA